TTACAGTGCTTTTGCCATCCATCTATTACTCCAAAGTGCAAAAGTGAGTATTTCTGATGACGGCCACATATGCCATTTCTAAACTTCAGTCATCAAAGCTTACAACCTTATTTTCCTACAAAGAAATAAGTTACCACTGGTCCGGCTTTTGCCCCCCTGAAATTTCCATCTTTCTTGTCAGAAAACAGCATCTGTATAAATCCCCCTGCTTTTGACGACTATGACTTCTTTGATAAACTACCCATGTGTGTGGGGAGGGACAGAAAGACAGAGGAAGCAAATGGGAAAATGAGTTTTCCTTCTTCAGATTAATGTATATGAAGTATACATCTGACACTTCATCAGCACTCCCGGCTGGTGTCCCAGCAGGCGGACACTGGCTGAGCATGTATTCTGCCAGCTACCAGGCTACTTAGGATGAATTGGCAACATGCCATTTATCTGAAATGCCCAATGTGTCTGGGAGAGGGAACACAACTACATTTAGCATTGCCAAGGAAAACTAGATACTTCAGGCTAGGAATTAATCTCCTCCTTGAGAAGGTAGTTAGTATTACCTTCAAGCTTGCCTATGGCATTTAAATCACTATAGGTCATGCATTCACTAAAATTCATATCTAACAAACCTCAGGGCTTTCATTTATATCTTACTAACATATTAATACTTCTCAGGTTGAGGGGCTACACTTTTCTGAAACGTATGTTGGCTGCAACTGAGCAGAGAATTATTATATCACGTGTAACGCTGTCATCTGGACATGCACCACTTTGATTCCTTATTTTTCCAGTTCCTCCACACTTGAACACACATATCCCTTCAACTAAGTTATTTAATGAATCATCAAAACGTTTAAACCCATGTGACCGCATGACTGCTTAAAAGCAGAGTAATGAAATTTCCTTGAACATAGACACGGATAATCTCTTCAAAATTTTGCCACTGTATTTTTTGAGCAGTTATGTAGAACTAAACGGAATTTGGTCTATTACATGAACTCTGAGGCTAATTGCAATTGGAAGATGCACACTGAACAGCAACACCATAGGGGTTTTAGATGGATGGTCTTATTAGGTCACCCATTACAGCATGCAGAATTACACCATCACTCTCACCTTGCAACTAAAGGAATCTGTCACTTTTCCATGAGTGTTTGTCCCTTCAACATTATGTACTGAATGCCTCCTACATGCAAGGCATTATGCTAAGAGTCGTGAGGAGTAGAAAGAAAGTCAAATCAGACAAAGAATTCTGCCCTCAGAGAACTTGCAGTTTAGCAAGGAAACATTAGGCATAAACACAAAGAACAAAAACAAAAGTTTACCATGATAAATGTGAAGGGAGTTGGGGGAAGGATGATCAGAGCTCTAAAACTGAGGCCATGGGTTAGGGATAGGAAGAAGGAGGAGAAGACGAATCTGTGTGAGGAATGTTCTATCGCACAATGCACCTCCATAAACATCACCGTGTTTGGAAGAAGGAAAAAAAAAGGAAAAAAGGAAAAGAAAGAGTTCTGAAAGGTATACATTCCCATCTGCTCAACACCATTCTCTATCAAATCTGTTTGCTGAAATTGGCAGATATAACTTAAATATAACCAATCCAAATGTGGTAGAACCGGGAAACAGATTAACTTTAATGTTCCTTTAGCTGTATGACTTTACAAAGGGTACCAAAAGGCCCGGCTCGGTGGCTCAGTTTGTAAACCCAGCATATTAGGAGGCTGAGGCAAGTGGATTGCCTGAGCTGGCGGGTTCGAGACCAGACTGGGCAACTTAGCGTCTCTACAATAAATCAAAAAATTAGCCGGGCATGGTAACGCACACCTGTAGTTCTGGCTACTTGGAAGGCTGAGGCGGAAGGATCGCCAGAGCCCAGCAGGTCAACACTGGGGTGGCCATGAGTGTGCCACTGTACTCCAGCCTGGGCAACAGAGCGAGACTACAACTAAAAAAAAAAAAAAAAAAAAAGGTACCAAAAGCTGGAAAGGTCAAGATCATTACTATGTACTTGAGTGACATGTAGAAATAAGTGACATGGCATAGAAATCTGGACACATCAACAATAAGGTGTTCTGCCTGGTAGCTCTGCTCTGGGGGGTTGCTTTTAACACAATAGAAGGTGGGGGGGGAATCATTTTCCATAGATTACAACTATGAATTAATGAAACTTCTAAAGGGAAAGATATGATGAGTGTTAAATTTTAAAATTTTGCTTTCTAGTGTAAATAGCCAATCACATTCTGGCTTTCTGCTCAAGCTTATCTACAATATGATACTAATAACAGAAATATTAATACTGTTAACATTTGAGACTTATTATATGCCAGGTACTGTTTTAAGTTTGCTTTACATAGTATTTCACCACTTTCCCCAGTTTTAATCTTATGTAAATACTATAAACATAAAAACTTGCAGGAGGACAAGTTAATACTTTAAGTAATTCTTATAAGAATGTCATCTGATGCTTTTGGGGGGGATAATCTTCTCCTGTTTTCTATTAATAGTTACCTTTATATAACATCCTGTCACCAAATATCTTAGGTCACCCACCCTACATGCATTTCATCAATGAATAAATCAGTTTGTTTCTGGTTATGTGACTACCAATATTAGGTAATAAGATATATTACTTTGTGACAGTGTTGTTTTAATCAGAATTATTTACTTGGCAATATAGGATCTCTATTTACATGTGAAGAATAATATTGCAATGGCTAAAAAAACACTTCTATTAATAAAAAAAAAAAATCACAGGCCGGGATCAGCAGCTCAACCTGTAATCCCAGCACTTTGGAATGCCGAAGCGAGTAGATTGCCTGAGTCCACGGGTTCAAGACCAACCCAGGAAACCTAACAAGACTTCGTCTCTACAATAAAAAAAAAATTAGCCAGGCATGGTAACACACCTGTAGTTCCAGCTACTTGAAAGGCTGAGGCGGAAGGATCGCCAGAGCCCAGCAGGTCGAGCCTACAGTGGCCTGGAGCATGCCACTGCACTCCAGTATGGGTGACAGAGTGAGACTCCAACTCCAAAAAAAAAAAAATCATGAATTGTGAGGTGTTTTTTCTCTTTCCTTAAATAATAGTAAATGATAAGAGTAAAACAAGCTGTTAATACAATTGCTCAAGGAGAAAAAGTCACTTTGAACTTGGGGATGGGATACTACCTACCATCCTTTTAACTGTATCTTTAAACATTAAGCTCTAATATTTTCATGAGAGGAAAAAAATGAACTTTGGTTTAAATAGTCAATTTTGAAGTCAGAAAATGTCCTGAAAGAAACTTATTTGGAGATACTCATTCTACACATTCAGAATCTTCATTATTCCAAAAGGAGAACCAGGAAATTCCAGAGTTGAAAGGGACTTCACAGACTGTTTAATACCTCTTCTCATCCTGCCGGTGCAGAAGAGGTGATAGAATTTGAGAAACTTAGTGACTTACCAAAGTTAATATAGCAATTTAATGGCAAAAGCTGGACTAGAGTGTTGACTTAAATCAAATCTCTGTGCATTATTACCTGATTCGCAAATATTCAACATAATTTATCACCAACACATTACAAGATACCATAATATATTGACATATATTATTTGCATCTTCATCAATAAAAGGTGTTTAAAATCTATTTCCATGCCATACAACCCTACCACCAATGCAAAAGTATCTTGTACAGACTTCTAAGCTGAGCCTAAGGTTAAAGCAAAAAAGTAAGGAGCCCACCAGCAAAATTAAAAACAAAACCAAAAAAATCCTGGTAAGCATCATGTTAAAAATAAAGGTCTACATTGATGGAAAAAATAAGAATGTGCAAGTCCATGCTGCTAACAAATACACAAATATGCATGCTGTGTGCCAACTGGTAAATATGGAGAGCACCGGAGTCATAAAAATCACCATTTTCAAACATCATAGAAAAAAATGGCCCAGATAAGAATCACCCATGGATGCTGAATCTAGGGGGAAACTTTGATGAAAAGCATATTTGCATGGCCTGAAAGTATTGCTACACACACAGCTTATAGACTGCAGGAGAGAAAGGTATAACCATGGCACAGAAACTGGGCAACACCGTGACTGGATGATCAAAATTAACATCACAATGAAGGGCAGATGGACACCTTAAGACTGTGGACCTCATGCCCTGATATGACATGACATCACCAGTGCTGTATTCTCTCCTGGAATGCAAAAAAAACCATGAATCTCACTGTGAGGAAGCAGACAAATATGAGTTATAGTTCCTTTAAAAATTATTTTAAAATGTCAATGTCATTAAAAACAAAGAAAGGCTGTAGAAACAATCCAGATTAAGATGGACTAAAGAGATGGACAATTAAATGCAATACATGACCCTAGAGGATCTATTAGGCTTTGCACTCGAGGAGGAAAAATGCTATAAAGGTATTAATGAGTCAATTGATAAAACTGAAATACAGATGGCTAAGTAGGTAATGGGCATATATCAGTCATAAATTTCCTCAAGCTGATAACTGGTAACAAAAGACTATGACATATATACATACCTTACTCACAACTAATTCAAAAAACCATATTTATGTGTATGTATACATATATACACACACATGTACATATTTACATACACACGCAGAGAAAGCAACAAATAAAGCAAATGGGATAGGTAGGATGTTAATTAGATCTAGATAAAGGATAAACTGGTGTTCTAAGTATTTTCCTTATTCTTGTAACTATTCTGTAAGTTTGGAATTATCTTCCAATAAGAAGTTTTTAAAAACCTAGAAACATTTTCCTTTCTTTTGGGGGGGGGTAGAGAGGGGCCCAATTAAGAAAAAAGACTCCCAATTTGGGGGAGGAGCATGGAAATTAGCACGGTGAATGCAAGGGATTTCACGTCGCCAAACCTGTGGTTGACATGCCACGTGGGTGGGTTTAAATCTAGTTGAACCAATCCACTTCAATAGCCCCCAGGGAGGCGGCGAGCTGCAGCCCCCTCCTCGCCGGTGCCCGCGACACTCACCAGGCTGGCCGTGAGCAAAGGCGCCGACTGGCCCAGGGCCTGGCTGCGCATGCGCACGAGGTTGGACGTCTCCGCCGAGGCTGGCCAGGCCTGTCCTGTCACTGGGTTGGGAAGCAGGTACCGCCCTGGTGGGGTTAAAGAGAAGACAATGTCAGTGGCAGGCAGACAAGTGTAACTTCATAGCGGAGAGGGGGTCGGGGCGGGGCTTTTTCTGGCCAGCCTTGCTCTGCATTGCTGCTGCCATTCTCAGTAATGACCCTTATTCATAGCAACAGGAGAAAAATTGTTCCAGTTAAGTCTGGCGATCCAGTGCGGGTTCTGTCCCTGACTTCCCACACAAACCCAAGTAAATCCCTTCTTCATCTCTTGCCTTGTGCAGCATCACCAAGGCAGGAAGATTTTTTTTTTTTTTTTTTTTGGTCTGCCTATTCCATTATTCCATGGGAATATGTTAAAGATATGTAAATACAGGGAACATCCCCAGCATCACAGAAATAAGCGTGTGCGCCTGTAAATGTTCTTTGAAAAGATCTACAAGGGAAAGTGGTCTGGGAATCAATCAGAAAAGAATCTACCAAGTGGCGATCATGACCAACAAAAGGAAGTGGAATTCTTTCAAGGTGAAATGGGGCTGGTGACTCAACCCTCAGCCCTGAAGTGTAGATGGCCATCCACCCATGTCCGTGGGATACATAATTGTATCCATTGGCATAAATCAGGACATCATTGTCAGTCTAGGTTCACCGAGCACTTTCCATCAACCTTGAACTCTCATATTATACATGTATGCTTTTAAACGTCAAGCAGCTGGACCACTTCACACTATGTTACTTCCTTGGTACATGGACTTCACCAGTATCAACACACAAGAAATGAGGCTTCAGGAAAGTTCGAATGGATATGAATATTCACATAGTAATGAAGGTCAGTAAAAGCAGAGGCCATATTTGATTTTTATCCGCTTTGCCCTAATAGTAGCATAATGACCTGCCATAATATGTGCTCAGTAAATATTTATTAAATGATGAAAGGACGACTGGGCATTTCCTTCCCAGACAATGCAGAGACCATGAAAAGACAGCAGCAGGCAACTCCCAGAATCTTGTCTGAGGCCCTGTGTTTGGGGACGCCAGCTTTATTCCCTCGGAATCATGAGGAAATGCAGAATGCATCACTGGGGGCCCTGCAGCAGAATGACATCTGTTCCTTGTTCTTCCCTCAGGCGTGCACCTCACAAACATATTGCGCTGGTTAATAACTATGGCGGTATGCTAACTAGTTGGCCATTACTGTACATGCTAACTACCAGCACAGTCAAAGCACAGGAGCTAGGGGCATCTCCTGTCAAATGTCCGTGTTAAGAGGTCCAATGCTTTCTTCGATTCAAGTGTTTTCAGACATTTATATTTTAGTTGCAAAGGAAAAAATAGCTGATTTTGCCAAATTTGTTCTTTCACTGTCTTATTATATGGTGAAAGCACAGACTCTGGAGAAAAACTAGATCTGCTTTGGAGTTGTTGCCCTGTAGCTGAATGACACTAAGGAAAGAAGTTAGTCAACCTCTTTTGGTCTTGGTTTCTCTGTCTCTAAAATGGGGATGATAGAAATAAACTATGTAAAAGTATTGAAGAGATTGGAGAATTTTATAAGTAAAGCACTCAGTAAATGTTAGCTATTTAGCCATATTAATAGTAACAATGAATATTTTTTTACTTAGAGTGAGTTTCTCTCAATTTGCAAGAAGAAAATGCAAATATATACAAAGGAACAAAAATCACTATGACCATGCCAGAGAAAACCACTATCAACACTTTAGTGATTTTCCTTCAGACTTTCTTTCTACAACCTATATTTTCTTGCAAAATGTGATCATACTGATTTTTGTCACCTGTTCCTGACCACATACCAGATTGACCTTTTCTAAGCAAATATATATCGCAAATGTCAATTAATTGAAACAAACACTATCACTGAAAATTCAAATATAATTACCCTCTGGGGTTCTAATGCAAAAACATTCAGACATATTTTTGTATAAGGAATGCTGCATTTAAAATCTAGAACTTTAATTTTTTTCACTGCCTTATTTTGAAATGTGAACTAAAAGCTGAACTAAGAAGAACTTTGAGAAATTGGTGCCCTTTAGACCCAAAAGTAGGAAATTAATGAGGAAGAGCAGAAAAACTACAGACTGCATTAGGCAATGCAGCATCAGAATGATAGGAATAAATGGTTTCCTTAACACGGAATTAACTCACAATTTGAAGGACGTTACTTGTTAAAAACATATCAGCCTCCAGTCATCTGAATCCATAGATATTTTTTTCTTCTCCTTCCTAGGTCTTTTCCTATATGTTATGATCTGTTTCTTCTTTGCTCGTGTTTTGGAAAGAGGTATGATAAGAGGAGGTATAGAAGCTACATGATGTCAAGGTTTACATGATGGAGAGAATCTACTCTGGCCTCACTGCTATTCTGCCCCAGATGCTTTGTTTTAAAGAAAGATGGTGGTAGATATACACACACTTGGAGAATTTAATGTAATAATGGAAATATTTTAAGGCCAAGTATTTTTGCTCACTGAAGAATTCTACAAACAAGTCTCCTTCTTTAGTAGCAACTAATTATTATCCCCCTGATGTGAGAAAATAGATTTATTCATTTCTGTATTCCCAGTGCCTGGCACTTGATAAATGTTCAATAAATGTTTGTTGACTGAAATGCAGTTAAACTATACTATTGGAATAATACTTGATCAAGTCTAGATAGGAAGAATACCATCAAACAGATCATTTTCCTAAATTTCATGTGTTAAGTGTAACATAATAGCTAAAAAACATCGAGGCCTTATTATAAGCCAGGCACTATAACATCCAAACGACCCCATGAGGGAGGTGTTATCTCTATTCTTAATCCAGAGAGGTTACATAATTAGGCAAGGGCACACAGTTAAGAAAATGGGCAAAATCAGATTCTGACTTCAAGGCCTACTCGACCACGGTAAAATATTAATCACATATGATTAGGTAAAAAAGCAAGTTACAAATTAAGAGAGGCTGATTCTATATTTAAAATAAAAATAATATATGTTATCTAGAGAGAAACCATCTGGAAAGATGGAAACAGAGTAATTCAAGCCCTAGGCTTGGAATCAGACATATATGACCCTGCAACCCAGTTCTTACCAGTCATGTGTAGTTGGGCAACTTATATAACTTCCAAGCCTCAATATTTCTATCTCTAAAATGGGGATAAAGCCTTAAAAGGTGGTAGATAGATTAAAGGAGATAATACACTTAAGCCACTCAAGCTAGGACATGGAAAACAGTCAATATACAACCACCATTCACATCATCATAAGACCTGCTTCTCTACTTCCTAGGCCAGGTTACACGAAAATAATACTATTGAAAAATATTAAACTAAATAATATTTCTACTTGGAAGTGACAAACAGCAAATTCAGACTTTTAGTTATCTCTGGCAGAGAAAATAAGGGATGGATGCAGAGAGGAATATGCTAGCTCTAAAATATTTTATTATTTTAAAAATTACTTAAGGGAAGGATAGGGTCTTCTAGTTCAACTTAAAAGTTTAAGTGAAGAATTACTGTTGACCGATGGCTTTCATAAATTTAATATTAAATTTTTTTAAATCTACCTGAATAATGTAACAAATATTAAGCTTTGATAAAGCTAGCTGGTAGGTATATGAGCTTGTATTGAATTATACACTATTCATTTCTATACATACTTACAGTGCTTTTAAGGATTCCTAGAAAAAAAACATGTTACATATCCTAACATGGCAAACTAGCCAGGCACATTCCTTCCACGCCTCCAGATGGTAGTCCCAAGGTCCAGGTCAGGGATCCCCAGGGTTCTGGGCGATTGTGGGGAGACACCAAAGGTCCTGGATAGGGAAGCATGGAGCCAGGGTAAAGGTTTGATGGAGAACAGGAAAAAAGAGGAACTGTTATCATAATAAAATTTCGTTAAGCTACTGGAAAAAATAAATCAGGAAGCACCGATGCCCATATTCAGTAAAATGCTTAAAATCCTGTGATGGGTTAGGTTTTAGGTGTCATTTTTCTTGCATAGGTCTTATCCTAAGGAATTATATGAATGTACTAGAATGGAGGATCTGTTAACTCAACACACGGGATGTTTTCTTCCTGCCTAGACCCCCATTCGTGTTAATAGGGAAAAGAGGACAACAGACGGATTTAAGGCAGTCATTAGACGGCGCTAGCATAGTACCACAGTCAATAGTGATTACATCACACTTTATATAAATTCACTTTTTGATGACCATCAAGAGCCTCTAAAAAGTGGGTTGCTGTTGTATTTGTGCATCATTTGCTGCCTACAATTTAAGAAAATTAGCATCTGTCAATGGCATGATTCAGCTGCACAGGGTGGAAATTAATGGATAATGCGATTTCCAATTTGTTGTATGAGAGGTGAGCTCGCCTAGCAATCTGGCTGCTCTATTTTAATTCTGAATTGAGCTCATTGTTCCAACTGGAACTTTGATCAGCCCTGCGGTCTTTGGAAATGCGGTTCTAAAATTCCACTGATGTTTATTAAAACATTTATCAAATGTTTTCTACTGACATAACCAGACATTTAGAGGCAATAAACAGAAGTCTGTATTAAGACTGAAATCGGTTGATCAGACTGATACAAGAACTCAACCACAGAGGTATGGGTAGTTTGAATGGACTTTTTCTTTTTTTTTTTTTTGCGTTGGAGTCTCACTCTGTCGCCCAGACTGGAGTGCAGTGGCACGCTCCTGGTCACTGCAGCCTCGACCTGCTGGGCTCCGGTGATCCTTCCGCCTCAGCACCGGGCTAATTTTTTTGATTTATTGTAGAGACGTGGTCTCGCCAAGTTGCCTGGGTGGGTCTCGAACCTGCGGGCTCAGGCAATCCACTCGCCTTGGCCTCCCAAAGTGCTGGGATTACACACTGAGCCACGAAGCCGGGGAATAGACTTTTTAAACTGGTTATTGTTACTATTTTAGCCAAGGGGCTTCTACGTAACAGAGTAAGAGTGGAAGTTTTATAGGCTTTTATGATTATAAGTATATTAAAATAAATAGATTGAACCTAGACTTAGATTGTG